AAAATATGCATTCCATTTAACTCATGTACAACAAATGTACTACTATTTTCATTGTTTCAAATTAAAAGATAAATATTTATCCTATTAAAATGTTTTTATGAAAAATTTACAAAACTTTTACGCTGAAAGGTCCTCATTGTAACCTTTGAATCACCAGATTAAAAACATATATAAAGATTTTATACAAAATACATTTCTCAGGAGTTCATTTAACGGCATATTGATTTTGATAATAAAATAATGGTTTATTCTGAGCATATTTGAATGCAGTGTTATGTTGTTGTTTTTTCGTTTTTTTTAATGCAATATTCAGAAGTTATACGTGTACATTTACAGTTTGGGAGAAATAAAATCACTTTAATAATGTAACATAAATAAATAAGTTAAGAAGTCTGTTTAAATATATTTAATTTATTTCACAGCTAGAATAAGTTTTTGCCACGACAACTTGCCTTTTGATTTCTTGGCAATCAAAGTTTCAGCAGGCGGTAAACACTCTTGTTTTCTCTTGATGTGGTATTTCTGTCTCCCTCCCCTCACCCTATCTAGCCTCACTCCTGCAAAAAAATGAAAGAGTCCAAGTTGCATAATATTTTGACTGACAGAAAAAAAAGGGGCCAAGATATTAGGGTCCTTTAAAGGTAGAGATGTACTTTATATAATTTGCATGAAAGAAAATTGCACAGTCATACTTGAACAAAAGCCCGTATATTTGACATCGTCTATTACGGAGGGACTACATTTCAAGGATGTAGCTTGGAACAGCAATTCAACAGCCTACGGCATATAACTATTTGAATATTTTATCCATTGCCAGACAGGTGAATGCCCTGTTCACACAAATTACAGTGTAACACAGGTGCCAGTCACTATTATACATACGACTGAATGGTTTGAATAAAGTTTTGTAACGGCATAGAAGACGATGCAACAATTGTAAAATGGATCTGAATGAATTATATATTCATTTATTTTTGCGCACCACTCGCATAAAATGATGACTTAATAATTAAACGAGCAGATAATGAAAGACTTGTACCTTCTTTCATCATTCCCATAACTAAACACTTCCCGTATCTACACGATTGGCAGGATTTCCGTCTTCTTTTCGTAATGTCACATTCGTTTACTGCGGGACACACATATTGGATATTACCTGAATCGAAAAATAGAAATTAGAAATTAAAGATTTCATTTCAGAGCGGAGTCACAAACTTTGACATGGTAGATGTATATCGTCATACACTCCTGAATCAATGGTCAAAGACCTAATTACTTATTCGGTCAACTCGTACACAGTTGGTTATCTAACCGTCAAATGATACGTAGACAAATATGGGTGTGCTTGTGACGCTCAATTATGAATACCATAGTACATTCATGTCATATAAAAATGATGAATGTGTTGGCTTATCTTCACAGTCTGGCCTTGAAATCCATGAGCACACCTGATTGTTGAGAAAGTACGTACTAAGAAACTTATATAACAGTGAAATTTTGAATCAAATTAACACAAATGTAGTTAGTTGAAACAACGTAATAGATAACCTATAATCATGTGATGGTTATGACATATAGTCGTAATTGTTGCGAATTAAGGGGTGTTCATCATTTCAAAAATAAACTGACACATGGCAAAGAACAAACAAATTGAGTTGGTGTACTCGCTGTTGAAATGGTGGTGTACGTGTCAATTTGATTTTAAGATCTGCTATCTAAACAAGATTTTGAGCAGTTGCTATGAAAAGGATCGCAATTACGGTAGCGAATAGATAGGTTGTACCAGTGTAAGTGGATAAACTGCACCGACTACTGGCTTGATAGTGACATCATTCGAATAAAATTGATAATTTGGTGCAACTTGTAACGTGTCATGACTATGATCTTCTTTGGATGCGTATCTTGTCATAACATGGTATAATATATATGTAAAGTTTGATTGTTAATCAGTTAAAGCATGTCCAGATCATTCTTTAAAAAAATATGGATGCCAATCGGCTATTTTTAATTAAGTTTGTGAAACAAAATGACACAGAACAATGTCACTTAAATCTATGCAAAACCAGAATCAGATTCTGGAGTTGATAACTAAAAAATACACAATTTCTTTCTGTTTAACCATTGGTAGTTTATACTTGTGGAAACTTTTAATAAAATCTTGTGGGTATGTATTTGACTTAATGCATGATAACAAATCAAGTGTCTTTAAGCGTGGATGTTAAAAAATGAGATTCTGGATAAGTATTGAGAATTTATAGCTGTTGAATAGGAATTCAAATGGTTCTCATAAATTACGCTAGATTTAATTGTAAACAATAGTCACCAAGTTGTTCTTGAAGGTTACTGTAAAATACTATAGAATACTTTATTTTTGCTAGGAATTTATTTTTGCTGAAGGGATGTTTCAGTGAAAATAAAATTCCAGTGAATATACATTTTTTTCCTATACTTCACATTCAACTTGCCAAAAATCAGTGTAAAATAAATCCCAAACAAAACACCCAAAAAGGCTTTTTTGGCAAAAATGTATTCCAGCTAAAATAAAGTATTTTACAGTACCTTATGAGTAATTTTGTCTAAAGGCTTAAAGGCCCTTCATGCTGGGCTCTCAAAGTGAAACGAAAAGGAAAGAGAGAACAGGATATCTTTAATATTTCAATATATCCATATATTTTTTTTATGATCATTTCAACACGTTTTATGTTTTTAGTGTGTTCTTTGAGTAATGTTTCACATATTTGCAAGTTATTATGCAACTTTAAATGAGCCCTGCAAAACTACACCATGGACAATCTATTGAAACATTGCTATGCTTAAATATCACTTGCGTTATTTCAATGGATTGTTCTCCCACAAGCTACAGTAACCACACAACATTAAACTGTGTGCGTATATAATGCAGTTATGCCTTATGTTTTTACAATTGTGCTTCCATACAATGATGGATGGAAAAGGTGCCTAGGAGAGGGGAGAGTATGGCGGTAAAATTCTGCAGAATAAATCCTGTATGCTATACAACAACGCATGACCCCCAGTAATTATATGCATTCGGAGCAGCTATTGATATGCAAATCAACATGTCAAGGATACAGGGTCAACAACGAGATATAAGCAAAGAGTATTTTACAGTTTTAAAATACATAAATTTTGTGCATATTTTGGATATCTAAAACATCAGCATCACTGGCACATAAATGATATGGCTATAATTACAAATATGACGTATTAAAAAATTATTTTTATTTGAGCAGCTTAGAGAACAAAGGTCAAAATGGCCTAATTTATGTAAATCATATCTCCAACAAGATTAGATAAAAATATACAAAAACACAGCAGTTTAGTTACATACTGATCAGATTTAGGTTTGAAAATAAATATATGTCTACAGATATTGTTTTCTACGTGAAGAAATCTTAGATGGCACAATAAATATTTTCTAATAACTGTTGACCACATTTAGGTCATCTGTTGTGAAAAGACCAGTAGTGGACCCAGTCTGAAAATCCCTCTAGATTCAGGTTGGATAGTGATTCAAATGCATAAATACAATATAAAATTCCTGTTGATTCAACAATACCGAACATGTAGTATTTATTACTATTTTACATTTATATTCTCTCTGAATGAAAATAAAACCAAACTATGTTGATCCTTTAGTCCTTACATGCATTGACACTGAATAACTGTCACATTTTTAGTAATATTATGATATTTTAATATCAGCATAAAATACAAATTGTTATACTGTTATGGCAGTCACAAATTTATAATATGCGGTTTACCATAAACTACTTTGAACAGCGTATGCAAACTTTGAGTCATATCGACCCATTTACCTTTTGTTGAACTTGGCTCTCTAACAAGGCACACATTGATATTCAATAGCTACCAAGTTCATTCGTAGTACAACTTGGTTGGTTGATGCGCATGTCCATTCAACTGGCATTCATACATCAAATTAGCATAATTGAAACTTCACCTAGTTTTCAACTTGCAATACCACTATTCATCAAATTGCTTCTTGTTTGAATGGGCTTTGAAACAGGGATTGAATTAAGCTCACATTGGCTTAGGGCCACACAACACACACAACAATGGTTACTAAAACCACCAAAGAAAATCCTCTAATTTTTCTTCGTTACTGACAATATTTTATATATTTCTGATGCAGTGAAATTACATGAAGGTATGAATGTTTTTATGGAAATTTATAAAATATATCTAAAATATTTACCCTGGGAGATCCTCGTGCTTCATTAAAATCCTAAGAATACTTTCTCATTGGCTACAGAAGCCATTTGGTATTACCCATGAGCCTTTGCTGATTTTCTTCAGGCATTGGCTGATTTATCACGTTGTGATTGGTCAATTTGTTTTCAATCTTCATGTGAAATTTATAAAACATTTATTAATATTTTATATAAAAGCTATTCATGTCTTCATGAAATTCATGTTTCAGTGTATAACGGTTTGTTTAAATACACCCACCTTGAACAGTTCTTTTAAAGAAAGCCTTGCAAGCTTCACATGACGCTACACCATAGTGGTATCCAGATGCAACATCCCCGCACACAAGACACAATCTCTGGTTGTTTTTACTCGTCCCCTGAGACTCGCCTCCTTGTGACTCGGGCACAGAACTCGTACATTGTTCCAAGAAATTTGATTTCTGACTTTCTAATTGGCTTGATGCTCCCCTTTCTGCAGTGACAGCTGCTTCTGGCGATCTCTGCCCAAGGTTATGTAATCTATGCTCTTGACTGTCCTCTGTATATGAGGTTTCCAGCTCATCGAAAAAGTTTCTGTCGCAGAACGATTCCGGCGAAGTAGGATTCTCTGTTTTGATTACTATACCTTCCATATTGATCACCTTTGAAAGAAAGTGGAAATGATTGTTTTTATCCACAAAGCACAGGCTGCTTTCATTTTGTGAGAGAAATGCTTTTGTGAAATGACTGAGAAATTTTATAGCACAGAGCCACAGTGACTGTTGCAAAATGTTGTACTCGTGAATATTATTAATAAACAAATCACAGAAGCAAAAATATAACAATATAAATTAATTCTACCAGAAATATTGTGTATTGTGTGTTTTGATTTGTGCCATAAAAATTAAAAATTTAAGAATAGGAATAAATTAATAACTTGACAGGCTCTCATTTTTCAAAATTAAACTTCTTAAAAACAAATAAAAAACATGCTATTATCACTGATACAATTAGCAACCCCCACACAGAATGAAGTGAACCATTAAATGCAGGTGATACAGTGATACAATTTTTCATAACATATCAGAGTATTAAATCATATTAAAATCAGAGTATCATAAGAAATCATAGAAACTATTGGTCACTATGGCAATTTACATAGTAAACAAAGCCTCAACATAGTTTAGTACATTTTTGTGTTTGGTTTCCTGCAGTGGCTTGATGTTTCACAAAATTTAATGCGATACGTACTACTGTGTTATGACATTTACGATGATACACTTTTTACATGCATTGTCTTTTAAAAGTCGGACAGAGGCTGACACAATTGGCTGACAATCACAAGCAGTATAAACAACGATAATAGTGCGTAACCAGTTACGTAATGATAACAACGACGCGTGTACCTATGCAGCTAGAGCCTCATTTGAAGCATCATGAATATTTATTAACGGCATGCAAATACGTTCTCTGACCCAGTTTTCAGCATCGTGTTATCGATGGCGGCGTTCCAGCTCAGTTAAAAAACCACCGATTATTTATTTGTCTTGTCAGCTATATTCTACAAGAACTATATAAAACATCTAATTCTGTCATAGATTTGTTTTTTATACAACAGCTCCCTAATCCAATAAGACGCGCCATTTGAATAGGGCAATTCGCGAAATGAGATTGTGTGTTTGTTTACAAAACAGTCGTCGCTTGCGATATACTTTCGGCAAAACTTGGACATGGAGACAGGCTAATAATCGGGAAAATATCTGTCGAACAACGTCAATAATTCCCGCAGTTACGTAGCGACGATATTTTAACGGCCACAACACAGATCCCCGACATAGATCAAAACGCTATATAATTTAAGGGGAATCAGTTTCATCACAGAAATAAGTACGGGTCAGTCGTTATGCTGAGCGTCTTCGACTAAGTCCTTAATAGTCAGTTATACGGCAATGCCAGTTAAATGACCATATTTCGGCTTGACAACCTATTGTTACTGTAATAGTGGTCGATGCAATAACGATATACACATACCAATCAGCTGACTTAAGTATATCATAGCTCCATGATCCATAGGTATATTCAGTACCCGGGATTTTATGGTATGGTGATCGTTGGAGCATAAATGGGCGACTAATATGCCAAACATAATTTAAAAACTCATGCAGCAATTAGCTTAATTAACTGCAGTTAAGATTTGTACAGTTTACTTTAAAATATTTGTGCTGGGAGCAGTGAAAGCAAAACAAACGACATACATCACAGCAAGGCAGCAACCAGCAAGCAAAACCATTTTTAATTTGTTGTTTGGCAGTAAAATAAAGCACTGTGTTTTACCAATCCGGAAGTCAAGTCCCAAAAAGCATAGCCGGCAACATACCGGCAAATTAAACATACACAGAATTCGACAACGCAATCGATCTTTGCGTCATTAGCGATCGGTTGTTGCAAAACTATTACCTACCTATCGGAAACTAACTGCTTGGCGAGAGAACGTTAAACGCTACTGTCCTGGACGCGTTACTTGTAACGACAGCGATAGAACGGAGATAGAGACGGCTTACAGAATGAAGGGGTCAATACGTTACCATCACACACGCGTCTGACCCACTGAACTCTAAACGCGTAGATGTTCTGAAAACAGTGACACAAAAATTGGAGCAGCCAGTCGTATCAGCTGATTTGCAGGGCAAAGCCCTTTTTTAACTCGACTCGACCATTTCAATTCGGGGGGTGCACAATAGTGAATTTGGTCATCAAACCGGCATACTAGTAATACCCTTTCGCATCATGGCACTATACGACAGCGAACCACGCATGTTTGTTAGTGCAAATATTATTTTTTCAAAGTATATGTAATTAAAAACCTAAAATGAAAAAGCTTTTAATGTTCATCACATCAATAGAAAGCCCGAGACGAATTGCTGAATCTCATAACCTGTAACCCCAAGACCCGTCAGCGGATACACAATCCTGTGAGCAGCGCTCTGCCTGGCTGACTGACTCGTCATGAGAAACTTGAATATTGTGAAGCTCACAATGCCCATTCAGCGACCAGTAGATATTGGATGATCTCCTCAGGTACACTCACTTTTTAAAATTTTACGATATCATCTGTGTTTTTTTTCCCAACTGCGAGGTACTCGCCATGACACTATCACCATTATGAACTTGAAGTTAAAACAAATTTAAAGATGTATTATAGTTCATGATATTTGCTGAAACTACTGAAAACGTGAGCTCTGAGTTGAAAGAAAACGTTTTCCCGCGTTAATGAATCAAAGTATTCAAAACTACCACAAAACTTAAAGAATTACATTGTATATGACTTTACATATTTTTGATAAAAACCCGGGTAACAATAATGTAATATTATTTTAGATGTTATTCAAAAAAATACGTTTTACAGGTAATAAAGAAAATTATATAACTTCGAAATCATTACATTGTTGTCTTTTGTGTGTGCATAAACGTAAATGTGTACTTTTGTTGTCTACTTAAATTCTAGCAAGTCACAGAATGATTTGGTTTTTGTCTCATTAGTCCATTAGATTTTTTGGGGGGGTCTGGAGGAAATTGATGAACTAACACGACAACAAACAACAACAGCAAGTCATTTTGTGTGAAGGGTGATCAAATTGTATTTCTCTTTTTACCATCAATCGTAAACAACAGTACGATTTGATGTATATGCAGAATAACAATACATCTCCGTTCTTATGGCTTGGTGCATATTTTGCATTTACATATTTTGTCAATAGAAACGCCATAAAATACCAGACATATATATATCGAAGGTTGAATGGATTTAGAAATGATGTCATAGATATTTACTACTATTATATCGCGTATTTCACGGTAACACATAATTATCCTGCACGGATTATGCGGTTTTATTATTTTAAATTCCCGAAATTATCAAACGTATTTCTGTTTGGTAACGTAAATTATCGTTTTTCGAAATACAAATTCACTACAAGTATGCTATATCTTAATCTATTAAATCCTCAATATAATTGGCTTAACGAGAAGAAGGAAGGACTGTTATAGAATCTATTTATCCAACCAAAGACACCAGTGTCTTTGATCTAACTAACTTCACTTTCACTCTTAGACTATTTGAAAGTTGAAGTACTAGTATATTGTTAACATATACATTCTTTGACAACTTCCCGAGGTAGAGCGATATTCGTTCATTTCTGGCATTATGTAAACAATATTTTTGTGTGCACATTTCTCTTATTAAAACAGATTCCGCAGTCTTATATAAATATATTGATCAACTAACGTCACTACATAATAGAACGAACTGAATAATAGCAATCCATCGCCATGTATAAAACCCACATTTTTTCAAATACAGCATGTTGATTGCTTGTTATGATTTGATCGGTTTAGTACTACTATTATGTAACAACATCAGAACAAACTTTGCACACGTTTCCTTACATGGAGTGACATGCTTGAACGAATAATAATGGTTTATTGCTATTGTATATGTACGTTTTATATTCGTATTTGTTTATCGCTCGACTCAAAAAGCGTTATACGAGGGCAACGACCCTTATATTTTGAAGTACAGTAGAGTCTACCACTGACAGATGGTACTTAGAAACTGTTTGGAATTTGGCCAAGTATCAATGCATTTCATCAATCAGTTGCTAAGCAACAACCACGTAATAGTGTGATTGTGTAATCTACGGACAAAGATAAAACAAACCGAATAAAGTACAGTGGCACAGAATATTACATAATATGATGAACATGCGTCATAAACTAAACAAAACATGAATCGAAAATAACACTGAAGTTACTAATCAAATAATAAAGTATAGTACTGCATTATGTTGTTTTTGGTTGAAAAGCAATACAGGTATTGAAAGATGTTTAGTCCTTAATTTCACCTGCGTTATCAGTTTTTTGTTTAGTGGGATTTTTTGGATTTGTCAATGAATGAAAATAAAAATGAATCAAATGAAAATATCTTTGGTATACATACAAACAAAATGGTGTGTCACCCTCTGTATATACTATTTTGAAAAGCCAATAACTTATATTAATAAAAAAATGGTTTAACCAAGACTGTTTTTCACTACATAAAGACCTTAAAAACATCTCAAAATTATATCAACGATTCCCAAATGATCCTATCATTCTCGATAAACTTTATACAAAAAAATACTTTTTGATAAAAACTATTAAGAAATTCCACACAATCCTGGAAAATAATGCGAGTCTTGGGTAAACCACAAATTCTAAATTGCCAGGTGGTCACATCGAACCAGATGAATGGTTTAAATATTTCAAGACTTGTTAAATAATAAAAAGACTTCGACAGAAAAAAGCATGAATAATTATGTTGAAACTGGAAAACAAGAAGAGAATAGTCAGAGCATTGACATTTTTATCGGTATTATCGAAAAATTAGAAAAAATGGCAATTAGTAATCTAAAAAAAAATGAAATGTTCAAAATTGGTGGAGATTACCTCACAAATGCATTACAGTCTTTAATATTGTCTTCAATTCTACTAAATATCCCGGAATCATAGAACACAAATTTAATGATTCTAATTCATAAACCTGGTTCAAAATCAAGCCCATCCAACTACAGGCATATTGCTATCTCAATATGCATAGGAAAACTATTCGATAGCATTTTAAATAATAAGCTGGTAACTTACCTTGACAATAAATATTCCTAGGAAACAACAGTTTGGTTTCAGAAAAATAATTCCGAACAATAAATAACCTCTTTATCTTAAAAACAGGCATTAATAAGTACTTTTACCACGGTAAAGAAACAAACAACGAACTCGAACCACGTTTATGCATGTTTATTCAAGGTTTGGCATAATGGTTTTTATAACTTCTAAAATACAGTGCCACAAAGAAAATGTTCAATATAAGTAAAACATGTATCGCGACGTCAAATTAACAAATTAACAAATGACATTTCTATCGATATCCGATGTCATACAAGGCTGCAATTTAAGTCCATATCTATTCAACGACCTGACGGAGTTGACAGTTGTGATTCACCTCATTCAAAAATTAGCATTTAACTGTAAATACTGAAAACACTAAAATCATGAATTTTCTTCCATGAAGGCGGCGAAATATGCACCGAAGACAATGTAATTGCCTCAGCATCAATATAACTCTAAATGAAAAAATCAAGGAATGACTAAAATCACCGAAGAAAAAGGCCTTAAGGCAATGAACCTTTTTAAAAAAAATATAGTTTAGATGATTACTTGATAATGAACAACATTTTGTGATGTCTTGCACTGTCTATGCCCAACATTCTATTTACGGAAGCAAGGAAAATAATTACACATTTCAATAAATTACAGCAGGACGACCAATTAAGATTTAACTTGAGCAATAAATCCCTGTCAATTCCTTTATGCCGATATTTGCGAATCTGTTTTGAATCTAGACAGCAACATCTTCTTCCTTGGATTTTCTTGGATTTTTATTTTTAATTGTTTTTTTGTTTTTGTTTTTTTCTCTGTGTATGTTTTTTTACTTTGTTATGTCACTTTTTTGTCTTGTATTTTGTGCATTGTATCCATTATTGTCCAATGGATGTTAAGTGAACAATCAATCAATCAACCGTGATCGCGGGTGAACCAAGTGGCCATCACGTGATTTTAAGCAAACAATGCTTTGTACAATAGTATTTTGGTTTACCACTGCAACATGACAATAGGTCGATAATCGATGCGCGTTGATTTGGCCATGAACTTCATAGAGTTCATCTGCAAAACACATATGTATGCATGCAAGGGGGCTCTGGGTATATCAGTAAACGAACATGTTATCCCCTCTTCAAAACTCAATGCTCAACATTAAAACTGATATTGCGGTTAAGCCGACTACACAATACATGCAATCGACATTAAAAATGTTGTGAGTAGCCGTAATTTTAAAATAATACACATTTTTTTAAAAACAACCATTTTAATATACATATAAAGATGTATTGGTCTCTGTGCGGTTCCGTCATATATTGTGATAACCCAACTTACTAGTAACTAGGTTATTGTACCCGGATTCGTAACGAACGTGCTCCTGCACATAGATGTACGCATGCGCATGCTTTTTTGGGGTCAAAAGTCTAAACGCGTGTCTGTTCGATGCGGTACGCATGAACATCACTTTGGTTGGGGTGAACCCATTCTTTACTGTCCCGATGTGTTATATTTCATGGTCTAGTATGTTTTATGGCACTCCGTGAGAATGTTCAATCTAATAACGGTGATAGAGATTTTAATCCTTTTAACATACTCATGACGTAATCATTGCATTATGTAAAATATGATGTGTACTCGTACTTTATACGTTGTGTGAAAGTTCAGTGACTGACCGGGAGTGACTGGTCTACCGCTTAATTACGCTACGATTGGGACAAGATCTACCAGTGATACAGTTTTTAACGCCCGTACAGAATGAGCCATCTAGCGTTGCGTTCTGTAATCGCTACAGTAGTACAGTAATGCCGGTCGGTGTGTATCTAACCGATATTATCGTAGTAGCGACAGTTCCGTTTTGACTATTTCAGAGCAATATTTAGACCGGTTAACTTATGAGCTATTGATTGTTGCAACTTGTCAGATGGTTGCAACTTTAGTTGGCGAAAGGGCAGTGACATGTTGTATGGCGGGGGTAGTTTGATTGCATCAAGACCACATCGGGGTGCAAAATCATAGTTGTCATAGTGATACACTTTTGCATACATAATTACATCGCTATACGCATATGAAGCTACTAGGGCTAATTTATTTGGAAACACCTTCAATACTATGGACAGTGAGTGAGCTGTAGTATTACGTAGTTTGGTTTGTCGTCGCACCCTGCACCGTATTCAAAACAGCAACAACTATCAGTGTATTAGGCTACATTTTGTGTTCATTCTATATTCTGTATTCACCATTGGCTGCAAATTGTCTTTATTGTTTTTGATTTGTTTTATATTTTTAGAAAAGTTTTTATTTTTTGTTTTCCTTTTTAGTAGTTTTTTTAATTTCTTTCTGTAAGACCTTTTTTATCCTTTCCTAAGGATTTTATGCGTCTAATAAAAAATATAAAAATACATGCCCCCTGTGACGTATTACATCGCGTGTTAATATATTATTCGCAACGACTGCGGCGCTTCACTGTAAGCCGACTAGATATCAATAAATAGTAGCACATTATGAAACAAGAACGACGACTTCCATTTACTAATCATTAATCACATTTCACAGCTTAAACATAAAGACAAATCCAAAGTGGACGTGCCACTGACAATAGGTTTTAAACTTTCTATCCACAACACCTCACAATTCACTGTGTACAAAATAGAAACCCATCTAGTAACATTACAAATTTTTTGCTATGTTCACACGGCAGCATTCTATCGGAGCCGAACTACTGCTCCTCCCACTGATTAACAGGGGATTATCTCTAATGCGTTCATACGGTCGGGAGCCGAACGAGAGCCGAGATCTGTCAGAGTTCGATTCAGTTCGATCAGAGCCAAACAGTGCCCTCGAATAATGAGTATGAAAAAACTGTACTGAAATCGATTTTGGTGTCGTGTTTGTCTTGTTTCTTTACATGGCACGATGCTGATGGGCTAGGAAAAAAAAGTCGCGAGTCTGAGCATGGAGGTAGAAAAGACAATGCACTAATGTTATTATTTAGGTACATGTACTATATAGTACTTCGAATAAACAGGAAACACGGCAGCTAAAATGTGTTACAACCTATTATTTATTGTCATGCAAAATTATCATTTTGTAATTATTCAACTGTTAGTGATATCTACTACAATGTAGTACTATGAAGAATCATAGTACCTCTATCCTCTCTATATATCACAGAGGGACTGCGGAAGAATCTAAATCTACTAGATCGCTTCTACGATTTTTTCTTTGGTGTCTTTAAAAAGTTTCCGTCCAGTCGTTCCTTCAAGTTTTTGTTGCATAATGTCGTACGCCATTTTCCCGTTTTCCGTCGAGCTATCAATCAATCTGGCAGCAATTCTTTGCTCTGCCAAGTGTATATTAGGGCGCGTAACTCTTCTTCAAGCCGGAAATTGCGTGAAATTACGAAATATGTTGTCTCCGCCATAATTGAAATGATAGGTTACTTGGAGAAGACGATTGAGGGCGTGATTTTGGCTCCTATAGTTGGGCCCTGATGCGTTTACACGATCGGAGCCATGTCGGGACTCAACCCTATCGGAGTTCAACCCCGAGGGTTTAGTGGAGCCGAACTTGGCTCGAGCCAGCTCGAGCCGAACGCGTTCACACGGCCATTTTTGCTGGCTTGAGCCGTAGGGCTCCGATAAAATGCTGTCGTGTGAACGTAGCAAATATAACACACTGTGATGCTAACAAAGTAGCAATATTGATATCAGGTTACCATGACAATTATTAAACTGTTTAACCTATCAATATTGCATTTTTTATTAGCTAAACAGTAAAGCTATATTGTAAAACAGCTGGTTGGATTGCCATTTCGGTCACAGTAAAAAAAAAACTGTTTCCTATAATATTATTATTACTTTGAGAAGTAACCTAATATCGTATATGTCTGTTTTAGTAGTTCATATATGGACAACTTGGCATGGGGCCCAGTTTGATTTAGAATACCGCTTTCTAAATTCGTTAAAGAAACATTTACTCAAAAATCGTCAATGTTATTATTTTGGCATTTTCAGAATTATGTATGAATTGTGTGTTTAATAGCAAAAAAACAATAACAATAAAAAAAGGAAGTAACTAAAGTTGTTATTATTATATTATCAATTTTGATTCATGTTCAATTCACCGATATATATATATATATATATATATATTATATGGGTTACAAATATAGTTCAGGATACACGTGCTACACGTGTTTTTATTCAGAATTGGTAATAGTTATACAACGAATGTATACATCACGCCTCACTCCCCGGACAGTCATTATACTGAAATCGAACGGATTAATTTATGAAACTATGACAGCTGAGAATGTTATTTACGTGTTTTGTTTTTAGCAATATTGAACCCCTCGTTTGTAATCCTTCTTGTACGAACGCTTCTTCCCCGAAACAAGGAATAGATATTTTATAATTATATATTATTCATAACATGTTCTGAGAGAAAGTGATTGGAAGTGTATACGACGTATCATAGCGACAGCAACAACGAACACCGCGTAACCAGTAAATTCATGACTGCCTTCTGTGAATCGATAAGTTATTGGTGAGTGCATATTCCGGTAAAACTTAGTAACATGCTAAGGATAAAAAGTCCCCAGACTATCCAAAACAATTTAAGAATAGTGTAAGAAGTTAACAAGAGGCATTGCGATCTGACATTAAAGCAATTTGCCAGGAAATCATGGAAAACGTGTCCTTTTTTTGATACAGGAAAAAGTTTGCAGCTTCGGTCAATGATTCCAAACAATTATGGAACAGAGTGAGGCGCCCAATGTCTATCAGTTGTAATACGATCGAACCAGGGGATTGGTATGACAGTTTCATCAAACTGTTTATTTCTGAGGCAGAACTTGGTCAAAATTTTCCATTGTCAGAAGAGTTACATTATCTGTAAGATTCGATTGATGAAAATACCGTGAATGATTTTGAACTAAATTCAATATTAAACGGTCTAATTCATCGGGACGAAATTGTTTATGGAATTTATAGAAATGGCAAATAGTGCCGGTCCGACATTTTGGATTTTTAAAATCTGCATCTCAACCTTTATCGTCCCATATCTTACAGTGTTATTTAATGATCCAGGACTATTTGATTCAGGTTTATTCCTATTTGAATGGTTCCACATCAAATAGTGTTCCCTTACATAACAAAAATGCTCGTACGATAATCCAGATAATCACAGAAGTATTTTGTTATTGAGTATCTTTAGTAAAATTGTCCCTTCCATCTTAAATAATCGTCTTCTGGACAGAATTCTTAGAAAGACCCATGAAACACAAATTCCGTCGTGAATATTCTACTGTTGACACTATCGTTGTTGTAGTCTATTGTTCAAAAATATTTGTTCAAAAAGCATGCATGAATATTTTTCATTAATGATTTGTCAAATGAATTGCACAGTGACACGCGCCATGCACTCAATCATCGCCATATCTGATTAAGATCATGTGCTTATTACATTGCTTCAGTATCCGATATCGGCAATTATCTTAGAGAGCAATTTAAATTATTTGAGCTCATATTGCGAAACAAGGTAACTATTCGTTAATCTGGCAAAAACAAAAATGATTGTGTGCAAATATGCATTTTATCCAAAATTGAATAAAATGGAAGTATAACGGCCACGTGATTGGGTAGCTGTGGTGACGTGTTATACATATATAGCTGTGTTTTTTTCTCAAGTAGATCATAATATAGTGAGAGGCAGCCAAAACTTTGTTCCTTGTCTTTAACATATTTAGAGTTACAAAGTTTGAAGTTTTCGACTCGATACAATGATAACTTAACTTGCGTTGCAGGAATGTGGAGATTTGACGAATATTAATGTCTTGAACGAATTCAGTTTTTAGCCGCAGTTTTTGGATGTCTCTTGTAATGCTCCTAATGTTTCTGTTCTTGGCGAGTGTGCGCGCGCGTGTGTGTGTGTGTGCGCGCGTGTGTGTGTGTGGGGGGGAGGAGTCCCGATTTTTTTACAAACTGCACGAAGATGTGTTAAATATTTGTATCAACTTTTGAATATGCCTGACCAGAGATATCCAAAAATGCTACAAAATACTTAACAATATTACAATGTCGGGGATTTGATGTACCCATTAAGGGTTTACCAGGTTAAAAACATATCAGTCCGCTGTAACCTCACATATGTATGGGACCAGCAAAAAATAATAAATGTGTTTTCTACGACAGGTGAAAACTTATTTTATTTATCGAGTGGCAAAGCAGAATCTCTCCTACCGATAAATTATCTTTGTATCGGTAACTTACAATCTGAAAACAATATTTATTTTGCGTTAAAGAATATGTTCATATTCAAATGCATGCTCGTCTTCGCTATACATCACATTGGCTTCGGATCGAGAGGGACCGTAAATACAAAGTGGACATGGATAGACAATGAATACTTTATTTCAGTTTATTCGATTTTTGATACCTAGAGAAAAAAAATTATTCAATTTTACATTATAATTTACCTTTTGGGATGAAATTCATTGATTTAATGTCAGTGTTTAGCAGTTTTAAAAGTTCATAAAAAATATTCATAAGCTTGATGTGTAGACCTGTATATATTGTTTTAATAGCCACATTATGTGAATATTTTGGATAAATCGCCATTATAGTACTGGTTATAGTATACACACATTAAAAAAAGATTCAGCAAAAAAAAAGTCATGCTTTAACAACAATCAACTCATAGCTATTTTTGCGGGGTCTCAAGATCGTACGCCATTTGGCGAATTGTCGCGTGTTGGCGCTCGACCTGTTTGGAATAAATGACTGTCACCTCCAGCTATACACATCCAAGGAATCACTGGTCATTTATCGGCAGGGCATTCAGTTGTTGTGCAATAGCAATTATAACATGTGTTCAATAGACTTACCAACAGTTACGAAGTCTGGCGTGTGCTTAGCCAGTGGTACCTTCTTTGGATACGTGCTGCAGAAATCTTCTGGTAAGAATAAGTCATGTCCGCTTTAAAGTTACCATGCGATCGTCGCAAGGGTCACGCAAACAACATTTACGTGCGGTCGCAAGGAAATGCACGTCCCTCATCTGAAGTCATAACATATTCTCTCATCAGTGGTCCATTGATGATAAAAAAGCACAACTTATAAACTTGCAATCATTCTTTGAAATTATCGTATGAATTATTGCTGTTCTGTAACACGAAAACTTGCGTTTGCACTGAATATAGGTCATCTCGTTGGTCATCGTGGGTCACGCAAATCCATGTGTAACTTTGTCCTTTATCGACGATAACAAACATATGTATATAGCATTGCTTTGATTCTCCTTTATAATATCCTTACACTCACAAAAGTTCGACGCTTATTTTGTTTATGCCCAACTATATAATAATTATAAAATATTTTTTTCTCGTTCAATATTTTCAGTTTACACCCCAGATGTGATCAGAAATGCGGCGTTGATGCAGAGCGGCACGCCTCTGAAGATGTGGCTAGCCGCTAGTACTGCAAGTAAGTGCTTGTTTAGAAACCACATCAACTAAACATTGTCTCCAACATTCTGGTGTAAAAACTCTCTATATTCATTCTTCGGGTTTCTCATTTGATTTGCCTTGATTCTAACTTTCCAAGTTTCCATTAATGATTATATTAGGTATTAAAAACTAAAAATGTGATTGAGGTACTCGTGTAATATTTTTTCCTCTATTTTTTTATGAAATTTCTCAAAATGGAATTTGTAACAAAATTATATTATATATACATAAATTTTCATTTTTTGATCAACATAAAGGTAGCTCAGCTGTTATTTATAAAGGATAACTATCTCGACTGAAAATCTTGATAATAATACACTGTCTATAGTGTATTGTACTTTGATAACTATGTGTGTTTAATAATTAAGTGCATAATAATAATAATAATGCATATATTAATGTAGCATCTAAATCCTTAACAACATATTACTCACAGGTGCTGCACAATATTACCTCGGTTATTTGCCATCTCCACTCCCTGGGAAGAATATAAATGCGGCTGCCCCACACTGGTGCTTTAATTTTGTGGTCTGACAAGATATATAACCAAATTATTATGTCATCATTTGTGGTCATTATTAGTCCCCGTTCGGACGCAGTCCAAAAACGGGGACTTATGTTTTGACCTCCGTGTGTCCGTGTGTTCGTGCATCCGTCCGTGCATGCGTGCCTGTATCTTAGAAATGCCTGGACCAATCACACATCACAAACTTCACACATACATCATACATGATATTATACATATGCACGTCAATTTGTTTCACAATCTGATTCAAGATGGCCGAATGGCTGCCATTTTTGTTCTAAAAATCATCAAAATCAAGCATTTCTCGGTTGTGTACAGATGGATTTTGTTCAAACTTGGTATATATATGTTGGACATTATAGGACCTTGATGCACATCATTTTGTTTTTCAGATAAGATTCAAAATGGCCGATTGGTGGCCATTTTGTTTTAATGAATGTGGTTCTAGTGCCATATCTCTGACTTGCTGTGACTGATTATGTTCAAATTTTAAATATTCATCATACATCATGTCATAGATATACAGATATATTGGTTTGACAATCCTATTAAAAATGGCCGAATGGTGGCCATTTTTGTGCTAAAAAATCATCAAAATCAAGCATTTCTCGGCTGTTCACAGATGGATTTTGTTCAAACTTGGTATACTAGTATATATGTTGGACATTATAGGACCTTGATGCACATCATTTTGTTTTTCAGATAAGATTCAAAATGGCTGACTGGTGGCCATTTTGTTTTAATGAATGTGGTTCTAGTGCCATATCTCTGACTTGCTGTGACTGATTATGTTCAAATTTTATATATTCATTATACATGTATTCAAAATGGATGATTTTGTTTTAATTATTGCTGTTCCAGAGCAATATCTCTTAATACTCATTTGACGATCAGATACAAATGCCGATCATTTTAATGTTAAACAATCATCATATTCCTGACATTATATATTCCAGCTTATTACTATAAACGAAACTATATATCTTATATTCAATAACTAACGGGACTGTGCCATGCATGGCTTGTTTCATCAAATATTTATAATTGTTAAACCATAGCTACTTAAAACCACCCTTATTATTGCTTGCAGTTGTATTTTTAAATACTGTATTTGCTCTATTATAAGCACATGTGCTTACAGTAAATATAAATGACAAGGACAGGTCTATGGTCAAAATAAGACATATTTCAATGATTTTGCATGCAATAAATACAATACGTTTCATGTGAAATGACGCTGTGCTTCTAATATAGTAAATACTATATTCCTTAGTTGTACGTCATGCCTCAAATACCTTCTGCACACAGGAGTTCTTTCTAAGCTTTCTTTAATTGTTAATTAGATGGAATTAAGCACATACTGATACTAAGTGATGTAGATAAGATCCAGTACCCAGTTACAATGCCCTGCTATATACTCACAATGACTGTGTTCAAATATGTGTATTCCTGACAAGCCAATAGTGTTAACAATACAATGATTGAACTCTAACACGCTAATCTTCCAGTATCAGTATTGTATACATTACTGATTAACAAATCTCGACATGCCACAGAATTTATATTCATATTTCTCACATTTACATCCATTCTGATTAAAACAAGATCCTAGTTTTGGCTTTATTTTTTTCTGCATGTTTTTAATTATTTATTTTTATCATACACTTTTACTTTATAGGAATTTATTATTTATTTGCTATACATGTAATTTTTATAAGTTTTAATAATCGCAAAACCCAACAAGGCAATAGTTAAGGTAATGTAATAATAAAAATAATAAAAATATATAGTAAAATAAAAATAAATAAAATTCACGCCATACATAACATCAGATTTTAATCAAATTGGTTTTCATCAATAATTATTAATTTACAAAAGTTGTTCCTGTGCATTTAATTAAGTGGTATGGTAATTAACGATGTGTGCAATTCAAATAAATAATTTATACAATTGAAGTGTCTTTGGTATCATGATTAATGTCAACATCTTATTTGTGTATCACTAAAGCAAAATTGAACTTGGTTTCTTTTATTTCAGTATAAGTTAATGTTGAACCCTGATCTACAAATTTCTTTTTGCTAGATGATGACAGTGATCTATTCTGACCTATGTCAAGCTCTGCACGTTTGATCATGTGACCAGTTATTAGTGCCCACACAAAAACTGTGGTTTAACCTTTGTGCTTTCTTATCCACTTGTAACTGGCACATGCTTGGACCGATCAAACTGAATGTTCACATTAATGGTGGCTGAATACCAGCTAATTTAATACCAAAAATACGTCAATAACATCCCTTTTTGCCATTCCAGAATTCAGATTTTGTTTTAACTTTGTATATGCACTGTACACCATGGTTCCTTGATGCAAGTCGTGTTATTCTTAAGATAGGTCTCTTTGGTGCCATGACCAACTGGAATGCAGTTCCCAATCCATATTTCTGACTTGCCTGAACCGAAGTTCAGACATAATTTTATGCACATACATCAGCAGTTGTGTCATGATTTTCATATCTGTTTTAAAATGGATTTAGTTCAAATCTGTTGTATGAAAATAAAAATGCCTGAGCTGTTAATTTAACACATTTTGAGAGACTGTATTTTATCTTCAGGAGACGTACAATGCATGTATAATTACACATACACTCAAATATACTTTTACATTAAAAACGATAGTTGTTTGAACAGGCATAAAGACAAGAGACTTCTATAAAGATTTATTAACACCGCTGTTTTAACCAGTGTGAATAATGATTTAGGCTAGCACTGAATGTGCCTCTTGCACATGTCAATCCAGTAAAAGAACTGGTGTCAAATCAGAAACAAAATACATGTAGTAACTTTAGACACTCTCGCTGTCAAGGAAACAGTAGAACAGAACTTTTTAAAAAAAATATATCCACCTTTCTAGAGTGCAATATTGACCCAACTCCACCCCACCCCCAATAAAATTACAGAAAAGTTAAAAGGCAGCTTTTGGTAAAAAGTTACCTTAATTGGAGGTCAAATTTCTTGGCGAAGGAAAACAGATATAAAAAACAAAAAAACAGCAACTTTGTGCCCACACTCAAATTGAGTAGAATGAGTTATGTCCAAAGTTTTTATTCCAAGATACATTTAGCGCATTTAAAAATTGTCACACAGGGAATGTAATTTTATGACAACCATTTCTTATGTGTTACTGTAATCATTACATTTTGTCAGTTTATGCACTTATATCTACATGTGAATTGTACTAAACATTGAGATGAACTACTGGTAAAAACCACACCAGGATTTTGCATTGTTTATCTTGCTCTCAGGGGTATCTCAAATAGATTTATTTATTTAGTTACTTTGCTATTCTGTTTTCATCGTAGATGTTCACAAGTTTGAGCGGCTTGGAAACATCTCTTGTATTATGATATTATTCTCATTTTAGATTATTTATTAGATTTACATTTAATATTACAGACATGGCGGCCCTGGCGATACTTCCTGCAGTTGGTGGGGCAAATATAGTGAAAGAAGCCAAGGCAGATCACTGTGCTAAAGGAGAAAGTCTACCATGCAGTGTTGTGGGTGGATTCATTCATGGTGCTGGCATAGTTATATGTGGGGCTGTTAGTATTCACTATCAAACTATATTTTTTTTGATAACATAAACCACTGGCCCTGACATGAATCGAGCTAAATTCATCTTAGATGTTGTTGGAAATTCATTTTTGCAACAAAATAATATGTAATACCATATACATAAATGAGAGAGGTGTGTGTCTATGAAAGTTACCATGATCTAATGCCAATCTAAATCATATTTCAATGTTCAAGCAAACCATAAATACACTAATCTAAAGTTATAAATAGGATCCCAAATTTGAGCCAGTGTTTAAGTGACTTATAAAATTCCTTTTTTGAACCATTGACAGAAACAAAAGAAAATAGAGATATATTAATAAATCAAATTACATTTTCCAGTGCCCTGCAACCATCCTTGTACAACTTGGTACCGGTACTGAAAACTCTCTTTATACGCTTGGTGGCTATCTAGCAGGGGGTCTCCTATATGGCTTCTTAGATGAAAAGATTGCTTCTATAAGGAGTGAAACCAAGATGCTCAAACGAAAATGCACGTAAGTCAGTAATAGCAAGTGTTTCAAAATGAGTAATCTACATATTAGGCGTGTCCAGTTGTTTTTGATAAAAGTAGCTGCAAAGGTTTATAAAAACAAAAAAGTCAGTGATTATTGTGGTCATTTGCAAGTAATTGACATGTGTATGATGAAGAATTTTGTGCTTTTTTCACTGGGAATATACTGTGAAAAACTTTATTTCCACTTAGAATTTATTTTCGCTGAAGTGATGATTCAGTGAATATGAAATATATTTTTTCCTATATTTTACTTTCAACTCAGTGAAAAAACGTCTTTTCAGCAAAAATAAATTCAGGCTAAAAGAAAGTATTTTATAGTATTTACATGTATTCCTTAATTACAGTTTGGATGACTTTGTAGGATGTAGTTATGCACTACTGGCCATTCCATTATGTGCAGGTATCATGACATTTTTGAAATACTCCTCCGACTATCTCCCAGCTGACTTGAAAACTAGCTGCAATTGTGGATCCATAAAACCAGGTATTCAAAGTAGTACGGTATATTGAATTTCTAATACTGTGTATAAACCATGCAACTAGCCATTCGCACAGCACGTCGTGCCAACTGAGCCATTCTACACTACGTTGTGCCGACTGAGCCAGTCTACACTATGTTGTGCCGACTGAGCCAGTCTACACTATGTTGTGCCGACTGAGCCAGTCTACACTATGTTGTGCCGACTGAGCCAGTCTACACTACGTCATGCCGACTGAGCCAGTCTACACTATGTTGTGCCGACTGAGCCAGTCTACACTATGTTGTGCCGACTGAGCCAGTCTACACTATGTCATGCCGACTGAGCCAGTCCACACTACGTCATGCCGACTGAGCCAGTCCACACTACGTCATGCCGACTGAACCAGTCCACACTACGTCATGCCGACTGAGCCAGTCCACACTATGTCATGCCGACTGAGCCAGTCCACACTACGTCATGCCGACTGAGCCAGTCCGCACTACGTCATGCCGACTGAGCCAGTCCACACTACGTCATGCCGATTGTGACACCTATTCATTGTTTACTCTTATTACCATAGGTTTAGTCCTGGGTTTTGTCAATATCCCGATATTGCTGGCCGTCAGAAAGATGATTGGTTGCAGCAGTAGTTGCATCACTCTGGCATCTCAGATCGTTCCAAAGTCAGTATCTTCGAAGTATCTTGACGCACACAGGTCGGGCTTCAAAAAATGGTGGCAGGTATGTTAACTTTGTATCTTTGAACCCGCAAAGAATTGTAAATATCATTGGTAAAAGTGTGTCATTGGCAATATGATTATTATTCATGATGATTATGGATTTTCAGTGTATTTTTAACTGTTGTGGTATTGAAATAAGTTTCCAGATAATTTGTTTAGGCAGTAAATGTCTTTGAGATTGATGGTTAATGTTGTAATTGTAAATTTTAGCAATTAACACATTTTTTACAGCGACCATGTCCTATGGTTCTCCTTCAGTAAGATTATGTAATGGTGGCAAACCCCACACAGGTACAGCCTGTTGTCCAGAATTCATATTGTTATTGAATTTTCCAAAACATTGTTATTTAATTTGTGGTATTTAAGTGAGACAATATTTTGAATTTGTTTTTCATGATAGTAGATGCTTGCTAAATTCATAAATGTGACATTTACATCTGGCAGTTATAGCACTTTTATGAATTTCATGTTTATTTCAACAGGTTCTGTTCACAGCAGGGGCTGTAGGTGGTGCTTACATTGCAGCAAGAGGATCAGACTCTTTAAACACAGTGACTGGAGTTTCCAAGCC